GCTGCAGCTGCTGCTGCTCGTCTCCGCGCTCGGCGGCCCAGGCGCCGCGGCCCAGGGCGCCGGCTTCCCGGAGCTGTGCAGGTGGGTTTCCGAGCCGCGCGCGCTCGGCCCGGGGAGAGGGCGCTCCGGGGAGGGACCCAGGGCGGGTGGCCCCCCGTCCCAGTCCACTTCTTACTCTGCCCTCCGTGGGGGAAAGTTGGCCGCAGAGCGGAGGGGTCTCTGCGCCTGGGCGGGGGGCGCGCGGCCACGGCGCCCGAGCCCTCCGGCCCGGACCACTTGTAGATGTCACCGCTTCACGTGCGGGCAGCCGGCCGCCGGCTCATCGCTGACAGCCTGTGCGTAACCCGCGGCCGCCGGTTCCTGCGTTCCCCGCGGTGCGTCTGGGAAAGTTGGAGGCGGCAGGAACTGCAGCATCGCTTTGTTCCCACTTCCACGTTCTAGTTAAAGTTCCATGAGCGGGAGGTTTGATCGGGTCCCCAAGTTGGGAAGGATTTCCCAGCGCGTGGGAGCCCACAGTGACCTTTGAGTTGGGTGTTTTGGTTTCATTTACTGATTAGTTTCCTCCATGTGCGTTTTCTATTTTCTTTTTAAAGTCACTGAGAGCTTGTCTGCAGTCGGGGGCTGACTGCTTGCATGCTTTCTCGTTGGGGTCATAGGGGTGGCGGGCACCCTGTATTCTGACAAGATTTTACACTTCACCTCTCCGCTCCCGGCTTCCTGTCTCGTTGCTCACATGATGTCATTGTCTCCGCGGTGGATTATTCTAGCCTTTCCCTCTGGGAACCATCATTGTCCAATCGTTAGCCCCATTGAGTGCCGTTCATGGAGCTGGCCTCTTCCACTTATGCCAGTTTTCTGTCCATCCTGTCTCCGGAACACTTAAGAGGATGTAAAAGTCAAGCTTTTGTTTATTTATTTTTTTTTTCTCTAAACTTAAGTGGGAGACAGTCTGAAAACTTTGGAAAGACTGGTAAAGTCAAGCGCCTAATGATTTTGATTTCTCTGGGCCACAGCAAGTGAGTTCACAGAGAGAAAGGAAGTTGATTCAACTTTGAGCGGTAGTTTTATTTTGTGGTAAGGTTTATGAGGTTCCTAGTCTTCCCTCAATCTCAGATAGTCTTAATAACACCCTGGGGCTTAGAACTTGCCGAAATTAGTGTATCAAGGTGAATGAGACAAAGATTCCAGTAGGAGCCCTTTGAGGAAGTCCAGTTCTTGGTCCCTTTCCCTCCTTTTTTGGGGGGAAGGAGGTGGAGTCCTGGTGGTACAGTGGTTAAGCCTTGCACAGCAAACCAAAAAGCCAAGTGATTTGAACCCCAAAGCCACTCAGTGGGAGAAAGCTTGAGGTCGTTTGTCCCCTTAGAGGTTTATATTCTTTAAAACCCTATGGGGCAGCTCTACAGTGGGTTGGGTTTTTTTTTTAGGAGGATGGAAGGGAAAATTCACCACAGATAGTTTACAAACTGGTTAGCATCCCAAAGGTACATAGTTATGGAAGTAAAAGGCTCTTGAGAGAAAGAGCTGTCCACACCGCAGAGGGGGATGTCTCAGGAACAAGGTCAAGAGGACACTCACTTTTAAAGGTGGAAGTTTTGGAACCCTGGCGGATCTGACCAGAATAAACTCCACTGGATTAGTAGTGTCGAACTCTCAGATGATGATAGAAAATTGGGATTTGTTTCTCAGCACTTCAGGGCACTTAGGCCTAATAGGCAGGCCGATGCTTGTATGCTAGGAAGATGTTAGGAGTCTGCAAGTTCTAAACCCCAGGGTGCTAATAAGAAGATTTGGCATTTGCGAGAACAGCCTCATCACCCTATCACAAACTAAATCCATCCACCTCATGTCGAAGTGGGACACCACCCTTTGGTCCTGTAGCAAGTGGACCCAATACTTGATATCGTCAACTGGTTCATACCGCTCTCCCCCATGGGGGCAAATGCTAGAGGGTCCTTAATGCTGGGGTGCGATGTTGGGATTGTAAGGTCGGTTTTCTTTGGTTTTTAGGAGCCCTCATGGCACTGTGGTTAAGGCATTTGGCCGCAGACCAAAAAAGCGGGAAGGGCGAGGCAGCCTGCTTCCATAAAGATTTACAGCCGCAGACAGCCCCCGGGGCTGCTCTCCTCTATCTGACAGGGTCCTTATGAGTTGGAAGGGACTTGATGGCCCTGAGTTTGGCCTCTGCTCTAAGGATATCTTAAAATTGGTGGATTCAGTTTTTCAAAGGACACTTCAACTCAGCAGTGAATTGAGAACTGGGTTTGCACACCTTTCCCTCTCTTCGGGTTCTCTGCTCTGTGGTTGCACTCCATGACATTCCCAAAGTCCCTGCTGGGGTGGACACCAGTCTCTGCTTCAACCTCAGGGTCTGCACGTGAAGTTTCCCATCCCTTCCTTTTCTGTGTTGATCCCAACACAAAACCCACTGCCAGTAATTTAAGTCTGACTCAGGGTGACTCCCAAACTCGTAGGGACCCTCCTTTGGGTTTCCAAGGCCGTAAATCTTTATGGGAGGAGACCATAAAGATTTGTCTTTGTCCTCGGGACCATTGGCTTGAGTACTCTTTATGGCTTTTATATTTAAATTTTTTTTAAGAGAGATTGGAAATCCATGAAGTTTTCTCAGTGAAAATTGCTTCCCCCCACAAAAAAAAAAGTTTCCCAGCACGAGTGCGTCTTTGAGAAATGCACATTTGAACTGATCACTTTTTAAATCCCCGATGCCTGAGCCAACATGCCACCAAGAATCCCCGCCCCCAGCAGGATGTGTTCAACCACCTTTTTAATTCCTCCTCTCTTGCCCATTTGGCTGGAATGTAAATATCTCACCCGTCTCCACCCTCAGGACGAAAGCTAGTTAGGCCTTTACAAACGTTACTATTTGTGCAGGCTGCTCACATGGAGGCCATCCCGGTGGAGGTGAGAACCACATTCCAAGAGGCAGTTGGAAACTTGGACCGCGTTTTCCCATTGAAACCAGGCCTTGTTCACTGGTGCCTCTCAGAACTCCACTAGCCCAAACCCACGCAGCCTCACTTAGAACCCTAGTGCGAATTCTCACGTAGTGAGACACTGGGTTGCATTTCCTGGGAAACGGGGTCTCGCCCCGCTTTCAGAACCCAAGAAGGTATCTTTCATCTGTTGCCCCCCCCCCCCCACCAGGACCCAGAAGTGGGTGTCTGGACCTATTGAAAAGAGGGAGAGACTTTGGGGTGAACTTTGGCCCTGACCCTCCAGCGATAGGGGTGGTGGGCAGGGGGCATTTCCTGGTGTAATTAGTTAGTGGGGAGTTGAGGGCAGGAGGAAGCAGGCTCCGGGGTAATTTCAACAGCAGGTCTAAGGCCTTTGCAGTGGAATGGCCAGCTCTCTGGGGTGCATGTGTGCGTGGAAAGGGAGTGAGTTTCCCAAAGTGCATCTGGCCCTGAGCTGCACCTGGAGTGGGTGTTAATTCTTTGCAGAGACACAAGATGCACCTTCTTTTTAAGCATCAAGGGACTGGTACAGTGTAGGGAGCTGGTTAATCTTCACCTCGGCTCTAGGGTTTTCTTGAGAGGTGGTGTGTCACGGTGGAAACCCACTTCCTGAGGGGCTCTCCAAATGCACAGAGATCTTGGGCTGGAGGGGAAGAGCCCTTTTCATTGGGTCGGGGCAGGAACAGATGATGCCAGGGGAGGGAGAGAGGGCAGAGGTCAGCCTGGGCAAAATGCCCCGGGAATCAAGGCCATGCCTGATAGTCAGTAGCTTTCCTTACACTGTACAATTTAAAATGTGCAAAATGCCACATTACCTATGTAATAGGTGGACTTCCACCCTTTACTTCATTTTTAACAATTCACTTAATGATGGAAGTCCTAACGGGTTGGTTTGTGGCAGTCATAAAATAATGCATTGAGCTGGCCTGATAAAGTACTTAAAGTACTTCAGGCAGTTAAGTACTTTAAAATTTATACAGAACAAGTTTCTCCCAAATTGTTTGGATATAAATGCTAGAAAGTTTTTATTATATTGAGGTCAAGAGAATAATGAAGCCAGCTGGGAACTGGGATTGGTGTAGTTGCTTTTTCTAAGGAGTTTTTATTTTATTTTATTTTATTTTTTTTTTCCTCTGAGAGTTTTCCAGAGGAACAATGCTTATATGCCTAATTTGGGCCACATGTTCAACTTGGACTACATCCAATTGTGTATATGTATGTATTTCAACAAAAAATGTGTGTAGAAGCCTCTGTTAATTACATGCACATAAAACCTCATTTATTAATTTTCAGAGCAGCATCCCAACACAATTCCCAGGAAATGCCCTCAATTCTAATCTCTCATCAGTGTTTCATAGAGAAAGGAATTTTTAAAAGATGGTTGGAGAAAATGAATTTTAGTTTTCTCTTGACCTTGACAAATAAAATGTATAGAATTGGGCAGTGAGATTTCAGTGGCCAGAATTGGATTTCAGGCTCCTTAAATCCTTGTCTCAGACGTGGACTGGGGCTGGACATGCCTCTGCCCCTTTGCTGTGGGCATTTATTTTTGCCATATGGCTTTTAGAATTGTTTTGTCAAGTGCCATGGCATGGCACAGACTGCCTGGGCTGCCACAGAGTAGTAGACAATCAGTGCTCCTAGGCTGTGCTGTCTTTCCAAGCTTGGACAGGGCAGCTTTTTCTGATTGTTGGTAAAAGCTTTGTAATTCTCACCATAAAAGTCTCCAGTCTTTTTTTTTTTTTTTTTTAAATTTCAAAGAACATCTACAGAGATTTTGGAATTCCATTCATTCATTGTTGCACTTTTCTCCCCGTGTCGTCGTCCCCCCCCCCTCCTTGAAAAGCAAGAGGAAAAAAAAAAAAAGGTCTCCAGTCTTTCCTGTTAGGTTTATCCCTAGGTACTCTTTTTTTGCTCTTGATAAAGGGATATTTTAATCTGTAGCTTTTCTTGAGATTTTTTTTTTTTAACTGTTGGTTTCTGTGCTTAAGTTTTTTTGTGGTAGTTTCTTGCTAAGCTTTAATTTGTCCTGGGGGGTTGTCAGTTGGTTTACTGCCTTCTGAATTTTCCCCCATAGATTTTACTTTTATCAGCCGCAAGTAATGGCCACTTCGAGCCCATTTTCTAACGTGCTTTTTCTTATTCCTTTGAGTCTTACAGTGTTCACTAGGCTCTCTGTTACAATGTTGACAAGCAGCACTGGTGGGTCCTTTACCTTGATGGGAACACTTAACAGTGGTTCACCAGAATAAGAGGGCACTTGCACTTGCTGTGTGTTTGGGGTGGATACCTTCTATCTTGTTTGTGAAGAGGTTTGTCTTCTCTGTGATAGCCTTGTTAAATTTTATCATATGCTTTTCTGATACTCATTGGCTTGATTATTGGGGTTTCCCCCTCGTCTT